TGAGCTCCCATCTGTCCCTTCTGTGACCTCCACACCTAATTCCACTTTGCAGAGTGGTCTTTGTATTTATTTCTCTTTACATGACTATGATATAACATGAAATTAGTTATTGCTGGCTGTGAAGCCAAACCCAGGAGGCTGACTTAGGTGATGCCTTTTAACCATAAGGGGAAGGCAGGATTCAATATGGGAATCAGTCATCAACTCACTACTAAGATTGTTGTTTGGGTATCAGATTAGAATAACAATAGTAATAGCACAGTCACAATGGCAGCACTGTTTAAACACCTTAATTACAGATGGTCCCCAACTTAACCTGGTGCAAGCTACATATTTTAACTTGATGATAGTGCAAAAACAATTCACAGTCAGGAGAAATCAGATGGAATTTTGAATTTGGATCTCTTCCTGGACTGGCACTGGGTGGCTGACCTATCCGCTCACGTCCCTGCATACTGGTAGGGACGACAGCTCACAGTCAGCCATACAAATGAGGGCAGCCCCTGAGGCTCTCCAGTGTGCTGTGTTGCCAAGGAGTGCTTGTTGGAGTACTGGGAATTGAACCCAGGGCCTTTACACTGAGCTACATCCCCAGCCCTTTTATTTTTTATTTCAAGACAGGGTCTCACTAAGTCACTAAATTGCCCAGATTGGGGATGAACTTGAAATTCTCCTGCATTAGCCTTCCCGGGTTCTGGAATTACAGCCATGCCCAACTGTGCCCAGCTTCTAGAGGTGTTTTTTAGATACAAGTATTCATAAATTACATGAGATAATCAGTACTTTGGTATAAATAGGCTTTGTGGTGATTTTAACTGACTGTAGGCTAATAACAGAATTCTGAACCAAGAGTGATTATGTAAAGGTGCAAATTTCCAATGATGAATGTCATTATATTGTATACCTAAAATGTACCAATAAAATTTGTGGCCATTTTAAGTGAAACAATTCATCTCATATTCACTCTTCTTATTATTGAAATTGTATTAATATATGCTTTGATACAGTGTGTGCA